CTGGCGCGCGCCAAGGCGAAAGGTTTGTTCCCGGCCAACCCCAAGGTTGTTGCCGCGCTGCCGGGCCGTGAGGTACCCATCCCACTGATCGACGAGAACGTCACACCGGTCGCCTGCAAGCAACAACAGTACAACCCAGTGCAGGCGGAGATCGTTAACGACCAGGCTGACCTTTGGCTGGAGACTGGAGTTATCCGCTATTCCACGTCAGCCTGGTGTAGCCGAACCTCCATCGTGAAGAAGAAGGATGGCAGCAACCGAGTCACCATCGACTACCGACCGCTCAACGCCGTCACCAAGAAGGATAGCGGGGGCATCGGCACACTGGCAACAATGCACCACCGCATCAAGGGGAGTAACTTCTTCACCCTCCTTGACCTGCCCTCAGCCTACCATCAGCTCTCCATCAAGGAAGCCGATCGCCACAAGACGGCCTTCCGGGACGCGCGTGGACGCCTGTATGAGTTCACGCGATGTGGATTCGGACTCACGACGATCCCCGCCGTTTTCTCGGCCCACCTCGGTGACACCCTGCGGCCGACCGAGAACAAGGGCGGCGTCGAACGCTGGCTTGACGACATCCTTCTGCACAGCGCAACCCTGGAGGAGCACATGGCCCTCATCGAGGAGGTGTTCGATCTGCTCCAGGGTGTGGGGTACTCGGTGCACTTCAAGAAGTCCATGTTCTGCATGTCGGAGGTGGAGTTTTTGGGTGCCATGGTGGGCAGGTCAGGAGTGCGGCCGGCGCCGTCCAAGATCAGGGCGGTGCAGGAGCTGGAAATGCCTGCAACAGTGGGGGAAGTACGGGCGTTCTTAGGTCTCGCTGGTTACCTACGGGGTTTCGTACCGGACTTCAGCACCCTCACCGCGCCCATCACGGATCTCCTGCGGGACAAGGCGTTCAGTTCGAAACGGGCGCGGAACCGTCGGGTGCCATGGGGGGCCGCACAGATCGAGGCCTTCCAAGCGGTAATCAAGGCGCTGGTTACGCACCCGGTGCTCGCGGCCCCCGACTGGCATCTGCCGTTCACCTTACACACGGACGCCAGCGAGTTGGCGGCAGGAGCGGTACTCACCCAACCCGTTGAGAACCGCGAGGCCCCTCTGGGCTACGCCAGCCACCGCTTCACACGAGCAGAGGAGAAGCTATCCGCCAACGATCGTGAGGTCCTCGGAGTGCTCTACGGTATTGAGCAATTCCACACGTACTTACAGCACCGTCGCTTCACGCTCGTCACGGACTGTGCTGCTCTGACGTGGTTGTTCACCAGTCAAAACCTCTCCTCGAAGATGCACCGGTGGTCACTACGCCTCATGCAGTTCGACATCGACCTCAAGTGGCGAAAGGGAGAGGACCACACAGCGCCAGACGCACTGTCCCGCCTACGCCGCAGGGACCCACTGGAGACCCCCATCAACACGGCATTCCCTGACGACACCTCGAGTGCAGCAGACGCCCAAAGCCCCGGTGGACCAGTGCTGGATGGCGTGCCACTGCGGACGCTGTCGCCCCCTTCTGCAGCTGAAGAGAAGGTCCTGGATGGCGTCTCCCTCGCCGCCTTGGGGTCAACGGAGGTACGAGGCCAGCCGGAGATACCTCTGCGTGTGTTCTATGCACTCCAGATCACACCTGAGCCCCCTGATAGCGATGACCACCACCGTCGCCAGAGCTACGAGGATGCCCGCACCGCCTTGGCCCCCAGGCTTCCCCGAGCAGTTGTTCTGGGCTGCGGGGCCGGGGGAGCCCTGATAGCACTTCGAGGCCTGTTACACGTTGGCGCGGCCATTGAGCCAGACTGGACGACGCTGGAGTGTGCACGCACCAACCCCTGGAGCGCAGGCATACATCTGGTTCGGACACCCCTCAGGGGTAAGCGGTGCATGCAGGTATTGACAGAGGTCAGACCAGAAGTCCTCGTCGGCAACGCCTGCCGACGCTACGATCCCGAGCGCCTGGGCAACACGGCCACCCACCAGACTGAGGCCATCGTGGACACCTTCCTTGCCTCCCGGGCGCAGCTACTGGTGGTTGAGTGTCCGGCGGGGTTCGCCAGAACAACAGCATGGCGGGACAGCTTACGACCGCGCCTGGAGTCCGCCCGGTGCTCCGTGGAGGACGCTCTCCTGCATGCCACGGATGTCGGAGTGCCCACGGGGAAACAACGAGTGTTCGTCATAGCGGTCAAACCACGCCCTGGTACGTCGGCCGACATACTCTCGGCGAAGTTAACACGGTGGAAGCTCCACCTCCAGCACCGGACACCTGCCCCCCCAACGGTAGGTGGGTTCCTCGGACGCGAAGGCTGTTACTTCCTGAAACGGCTCCCCGGGGACAAAGGGGTCTTTAGCTTTGCCAAGCCGACGATCACCCTCACTCATGGGCACATCATGGGTCGACGCCTGCCCCCTGAGGATTACCAGCCACACCCGACCGACGACGGCCCCGTCGCTAGCGCGCAAGACCTGTCGTGGGGAGACTTTGTGAAGCTCACCACGACGCAGGGGGACTTCACGGTCCCCCCAACCGTCCGCAGGATAGATGCCGCAAGGGCACTTGAGGAGTTTGCTTTACCAGAAATGATGCGTGAGGCCCTCAACGAACTGGGCATACTCGGCGTGATAAACAGGAACGCCGACCCACGATGTAGCTTGGAGGAAGAACTGTCGTTATCATTGGCCAGCCTGTGGTTAGACCCAACTGACAGGGCAGGTGTGGACGCTATGGCGGCCGCGGCGGCCCCGAGTGGGAAGTCGGGTGTCGAGGAACCACGCTTCGTCGTGATCCCACGAGTCACACGAGGGATGACTCGCAGGGCGGCACCGCCCGAGTCCGCTACCCCTTCGAAGAAAGGAAAGGCGCCGGCCCGGCACGAGGCATCCCCACCTTCGACACCGCCACCTGGAGGCGCGCTACCTGCTCATGCGAGTGGCCCTCCGCCGGCTGGAGGTGCGCTACCTGCTCACG